CCAACAGGGCTGGTCAGCGTGCTAAACCAGGAATGATGGGGGAGGGAGATTCTTCTCTTGGTTAAGATCAGGTGAGAAAGTGGTGGATGGGATAGGCAAGCAAAAGGCCTGCGGTTATGTGAACAGAAGAGAAAGCAACAGAAAAAGGATGAAATGGAAGCGTAGGTATGTAAAGAAGTGCTAACAGGACAGCCCTGCGGGGAGAGCTCTCTTTGCTCTTCCTGGGGATTCATCATGCTTGGGTTCTTCTCTGAAATGCCTCTAACACTAAGGTGTGCAGCACGGGGAACACACAGGTGGGAATGAGAAGCCTGTGTGCAGCTGCAGAACTATGACCTTGTTGGGATCAGGGATAGCTCATGACTAGAGTGTTGTGATGGATGGGTACTGGCTTTTCAGGAGAGGGAGTTGCCCTTTATGTGAGAGAGCTGTGGGAATGCCTGGAGCTCTGCCGAAGGACAGGTTATGAGCTAGTTGGGAGCTTGTTGATCAGGATTGGTGGGCAGACCAAGATGGGTGACATTGTGGTGTGTGTCTGCTACTGACCCGATCAAGAAGAGTTAAACAAGGCCTTCAGTCAGATGCAAGAAGCCTCATGTCATAGTCTTTGTGCTCTGCTGGACCTAATACTTAATAAATAAAGAAGAACTGGTCAAGGATGTTAAGGGCAGTGATCATGAGATGGTAGAGTTTGGGATCTTTAGATGATGGAGCAGAGCAAAAAGCAGGACCAGAACCCTGAGTATCAGGAGAGTAGACTTTAGCCTCTTCAGGGCTCTGTTTGTGTTAAAGCCCTGGAGAGAAAAGAGGCCCATGAGACCTGAGTTGATATTCAAGGATAACCTCCTCCAAGCTCAAGAGTGGTCCATCCTGACAATCAGGAAATGGAGAAAAGGTGGCAGGAGACATTTATATACGGATGAGCAAGGAGGTCCTGACTAAATTCAGACATAAGGAAGGCCGATGTACTCAGTGCCACCTTGTGGTCAGACCTGCCTTCAGGAATCCCAGGCCCCTGAGGCCAGAGGGAAGGTCTGGCACAAGGAAGATTTACTCTTGCTAGAGGAGGATCAGGATAGGGAACATCTAAACAAACTGGACATCAGTCCATGGGATCTGATGGGTTGCACACATGAGTGCCAAGGGAACTGGCCGACATCATTGCAAAGTCACACTCAGTTATCTTTGAAAGATATGATGATTAGGAGACATTCCTGAAGACTAGAAGAAAGCTAATGTTGTCTTCAGGAGCTGCAAGAAGGAGGATTCAAGGAAGTACAGGCCAATCAACCTCACCTCAATTCCTGGAATGTGATGTCTCTTTGTGTCTTCTTTTCTTCTCCATGCCTGCTTGGACTCTGCACGACCTCTGTAGGAGCCTGTGGTGGGGGATGTGGTTCAAGCCTTTTGAGAACCCAGGCAGACTTTTAGCTCAGTCTCCACTTTCTGAATGCCTGTTGACTTTTCAAACCCTTGTCCACTGTTTTCCTCTAAAAAAGCCATACTTCATGACTGTTTTTTCTCCACTCTCTTGTGCTTATGCATGTACCCAGTACTTTTTTTTGTTGACTGGGTCTGTTGTGAATAACCTGGTTGACTGAGCAAGGCCAGTAGGTTGTAAAGCTTTGATTTTGCACATCATTGATTCTTCCTCAGTATGACTCTTACTTGTGTGCCCTGTAATTCTGTTCTTTACGTTAATGTCTACTGTACTGCTACAGACTTATGGAGTTTAGTCATAGGTAGTTCCTGTTTTAGAAACTTGTAGGGCATGAGCCATCTTCTGATTCTCTAGTACAGAGTCTACTCTAAATGGGAGATTAAATAACATACTGGTTGTTTTGGTTGAAAAAGTGGGATTTAGAAAGCTGTTAATACTTTATATACTTGATGGTTTGTTACTGCTTGTTTTGTTGATCTGTTCTATGATACTTTCAACTGATGCTAAAGTGCAGAAATCTCTTAAAATTCCTCTGGTATAGGTACAAGTCAAAAAAACCCCGAACAACCAAAAAAACCCCAAAACTAAAAGGTATGTTTTCAGTGCATGTTTTTTTAGGTGATTCTTCTACATAAACTGATGAGCATGGGGCCATGGACTCTCATGTATGCCTTATTTATGAGCAGAGCAAGAGTAATTACTTTCTACACCATTCATAAGTTATTCTTCAAACTTCATTTTTTTAGCTTGCCATGTTGTATTGTGATTAACAGGAGTCATGATCAATTTTATTTTTCTTGTCTGTACGTGATCTCAGCTTGTTGAAAAATGCTTCACTATGTCTCATATCCTCCTTGTTTTGAGCATCTTAAAATATTCTGTATGTGTGACCTGTGATGATACCTTTATACAGTATCTTGTTTTCTAAAAAGATTTTATTCTTAACTGCTTTTTTACTTGTTTTAACAAATACCTTGGTGTTCCCTAGTTGCCATGCTGAAACAATTGCAACAATTGTAGATTTGTTGGGTTTTTTTTTTGCTTGTCTTGCTTCCATAAGGATGCTGAAACCAAGTCAACTGAGAACCAGGTGAAGAGTTGTTTTCTCTATTGTGGCCTTCTAGATTAGCCACTCTATGGCACCTCACTACTAGTGTATGAAAATATAGCTCGGACATCACCTCCTGGTGATGCTAATTGAAATCTGTAATAATTACTGCACTTTCTGCCCCTCTGATGTCCTGTAATGCCCCTGTTTTCCTTTGTAGCTGGTGGTCAATAATCACTGTGTAAATCCACATAGTTTCTGTATTCTGAATGCTGCTTGCAGTTCTCTTAACCTATTTTGAAACATCTGGAGCCTGGAACTACTGTGTGTAAAGAAAAGGTGACAAAGACGAGCGGAGTATCAGAATAACTTCTGACCAGGAGTAAATCTGGTAAAGAGCCCTGAGTCACGACTCCAAACAAAGATTTGTATAGGAAGGAAATATTCAACACTTCTCACAACACAAAAACTGGAGGCATGAAATAATCAAACAGTAGGTCTTAATCCACCAGTTATGGTTGTATGATGCTCTCTGGTGTTGTGGAAATGAAAAGCTAAAGACATTTACAAAAGGATTAGACAAACTAACACTATTCAGTGACTACTGGGTTTTGGTGCCTGGAAGCAATGTTTGAATTTTTTAAAATTTTTGAAGTTGGGGGTATATGTGAGTGAAGAATCATTGTATGTTTGCCCCATTCTCTATAGTTTCTCCCTTCAGCATTTGCTGCCAGCTGTTCCTACTGGCTTACACTGGAGGGATTGCACAAGCTTCATGAGTTTGTACCTTTCTCAGATGTGGGAAGCACAAGACAGTGGGCTGTGGTAACCCAAGCAAAATGATGACAAACAACAAATGGAGAAAGGAATTTGAACTGATAAATTCTACTGATAGAAGATGACAAAAATGGAAGATGCCAGACAGGTTGTCTCTTGCATGCAGTATTCTTTGGGAGTGTTCAAGGACAGGTAGATGCTGTTTGGTGGCTCTGGTGGCAATCTGCTTATAAATGTGATGAGACAAGGAACTGGGAAAGGGCTTGGCCCATTCAGTCAGTGCTTGGCCTTTGGGCAATTGTGTTTTGTATTGAAATTTGCAAATACTGTATTTTAACTGAAGGATCATCTATAATGAAAGGCTTTACAGCCCTACAATCTCCAATTAGTTTTTTTCTTGACATTGTGGAGTGCTGGATGAAAGAGTTGAGCACAGTCATGGTACACTTCTTCGTAGAACTTCCTACATGCTGTAACTGATAATACAGAGTTGTGTTGGCTTGTGCCATAGGCAACATCTTGTGGAGAGGGGGGAACCCCTAAAACCCAAACCTCAAAATTTGGATAAAGCTTGAAAGAATTAATTCTTTAAAGAAAGACTGGATGGATAGACAGCAAAGTCACAGAATGATATGGGGTTGGAAGGGACCTCTGGAGATCATCTAGTCCAACCCCCCTGCTAAAGCAGATCCTTTCTGGTATGTGGTGTGCTTGTAAACTTCTCAGCTCTCGTGCTGTCATATATTAGTTAATTTCAGAAGATTGGTGAGAATATAGTCTATCAGGAGCTTAATTATATCCTGACTGCTTTTAATCAGTCTTTTTGAAGACCAGATGGTTGAGTCTGTCATTGGTGCCACTGTGTTGGTGAAATAGGCACTCCTACAAATAGCACAGTTTGCTTTCTTGTTTCTACATTTGATGCGTTGTTATGAAATTTCTCTTCCTAAAGTTGGTACATCCTGCTTTTGGCTCTTCTTGCTCCCTGATTGCTCTGTTCCTGATTTTACACTGGTAATAGTTGTTCTGGTATCCTTTGACAGAAGCAGTAGCAACAATCTTATAAGGTCTTGACAATTTATCTATCTGCTTACTTTTAAAATAATCTTGCATTCTGGGGAAAAAAAAAAGGCCTTACTGCAGTCTGAAGAGCTGGTTCTGTACTGTATTGGCTGGGACAGGAGAGCTCTGTAGATCCTTACTCTCTGAGGCAGAGAACAGAAGTGCAAGCTCATGTCTTAACTGTTCACGTTTCTGTAGTTCATCTAGTTTCAGATTCTTTTTAGCTCTATAGTGCAAGAGTAGCAGAGTGAAATTGGGCCTCGGATTCCTGTATTCCACAAAATAAAACTATCATTTATCTTTAAGTGGTATTACTGTTTAAAAAAATCTCCCACAGCAGAGTATTGGAAATGAGGGTGCATAATTTCAGAACTGATTGTAGGGTGTACTGATCTGCTTCAGTTTATCTCTTTGGAAGACTTGCACACTACAAACATAGTTATGTTTTGTCATGTCTCGCTGGGAATAAAAATTAAATCTTGTCTTTTGGACTAAATCACATCTAATTGTAGGTGCATATTAATTGAAAATGTTTGATATAGAATGTTTTTAAACGACAGAAGTCATCATGCACCCTGTTTTCAAAGACAGCTATGTGAAACTTGGTGCTGTGTTTCAATTCTTTGATAGTCTTTGGGATGTTCTCATATCTGAATACTTTTTTCCTCTTAGGTGAGCGGAATCAAGAGTCTCTATGAGTCTGAACTGGCCGATGCTCGAAGAGTTCTGGATGAAACCGCCAAAGAGAGGGCTAGATTACAGATTGAAATAGGAAAATTGAGAGCAGAACTTGAGGAGTTCAATAAAAGGTAAGGAAAGTCCTGCATGAGAATATATATATATATATATAATATTTTTTTTTAAAACTAGAATGGGCAATATTTGCAGTGGGAATGATACTAATGATGCTTCTTAGAATGCCTTAGTGGCTGTCTTCTGGAAGTGCTGCAGATCTATGAGGAGATACAGGCTTGTAAGAGGGGAATTGCTCAGCTTGTTGGCACAGCTAGGCAGAGCAGATAATCCAACCAGTGTATACACAAACATATTTGTAGATAGAAGATTAATATACTGTGATTTGGACAATTCAGACATGCAGCGGCTGAAACGATTGGTTGTGGCTGTTTCTGTCCTGTTGTACCTCTCCTTATGTGAGCCTGCACAAGTGCAGCTGCTTGGTAACCTGGATTGAGAAACTGATACAGATTTAAATTGACCCATCCGAGGAAGGTTAATTTTTAAACCCTATCAGTTTTATTGTCTAGTTTACTGTATTGACTGACGGCAGAAATGAAGGAAAAGGTAGCTCTGAGCACTTTGGGAATATGGAAGCAGTGTTGGCTTACAGACACAAGAAGCTACAATGTAAGTGTGCTGGAAAAAGACCTTGTATCAACTACATTTTAAAAAACAGCTGTTCAGTCTGCACCAAAGAGAACTGGCCTAATAAACTGGCTACTGAAGCCAAACATAATGCCTTATTGTTTATTCCCACTAGGGATTTGTTGTAATCAGATACTGTTTAGTAGTTGAAAATACATTTTAAAATGAATATTATGTGGTGGCAAAATTATTTTTTTGCTTCTGATTGACTTTTTATACTTGTTTTTGTAGATAAGTTTTGGGAGTTAAAGATTTTTCCTGAGTATGTCAGTATGTACATCACCTGTATATGAACTTTGGCCATAAAATTGCTTTTAATCCAGTAGTGCCAGTAGAGCCCTACTGTAAGTCTCCCATCTCCCTTCATTTACATCTAAGTGGTTATAAAAGGAATTAATTGTTTCCCTCTCTTGTGTTTTTTTTTTTTTTTCTGACTGCCTAGTTGATTTATCTTGTGTAGTAGTAGTATCTTGTAGTATACAAGTAGTATCTTGTTTTCTCTGTAAACTTTGCTATATCACCTGGATCTTAGCTTTCTGTGCTGGGCTTTGCCACTAAAATAACTGTCCAAACATGAAATTGCTATAGTGTAAGCATCTCTGTTTGGGTCGCTGTAAAGCCTGTGGGACTTGGTGTACAGTTCATACTAGAAGATATGCCTGCAGGTCAGACAACCTGTGCGCTAAAATTGATGGACTCAGTTAGCTAGGCCTTTGTTAACCATAAAAAAGACCTGATGGTAACTAGGTCAGATATAAACCTCTAAAGGTAAGTGAGATGACCCAGCCCTACTGTGATGTTCCTGCTGGGACTGGTTTCCCTCTTAAAAGCCTTAGGTTGGCAGTCTTGGCATTTATTTCAGATAATGTATTTTGCATGGCAGTTGATGTTACATGGCTGTCAAGGTCTTGACACAGCCATGTTGGTCTCTCGCCTTCCTTTCCTGATTTCTTACACCCAGGGTTCAAGAGCTTGTGCTCTGTGGAAACGTCCTTAAAGCTCTGCCAGCTCTGTTCTGCTCACTTGTGCCCGAGGGCAATTTTCTGGGGGGTCCTATTGACTAACTCCCTGAATAGCTGCAAGTTTGCTTTCCTAAAGTTCAGGGTCCTGACTTTGCTCTTCACCTGACCCATATCCCTCAGGACTGTGAACCCCACTAGGGCACAATTGCTGCAGCTCAGGCTGTCTCCAGTCTTGACATCACCGATTAGCTCACTTCTGCTGGTGACCAACAGGCCCAGAACTGCATCCCCTCTGGTAGGGCTGTCTGTTACCTGGCTTAAGAAGTTATCCTCGGTGCACTCCAGGTGTCTCCTGGATTGCCTACAGCTCGCTGTGTGACCTTCCCAGCAGATGTTGGGGTGGTTGAAGTCCCCCAGCAGGACAAGAGCCTGCGAGCGCAGTGTCTTCTGGAGCTGGAGTGAGAAGGCTTCATTAATAGGCTCCCCTTAATCAGGTGGCCTGTACTAGACCCCAACCACAAGGTTCCCTTTGTTGCCTCTAATTCTTACCCAGAGGTTTCCACCCTGCTCGTGGCTGTTCTTTAGAGAGAGAGACAGCTCTTCACACTCCAGCCATTCCTTGATGTAGAGGGCAAAGCCTCTGGGCCTCCTTCCTCTCCTGCCCCTTCTGAACAGCCTGTAGCCATCGACAGCCACACTCCAGCCATGGTCTTCCTCCCACCAGGCTTCAATAATGGCCACTATGTTGTAGCTTTCCAGCAGCATGGTGGTGGCTTCCAGCTCCTCCTGTTTGTTGTCCATGCTGCGTGCAGTGGTGTAGAGGCACTTCAGCTGGGCTGTCAGACATATCATCTCTTTAGAGGAACATTTCCTGATTCCTTTGAGGTATTTCACCAGTGTTTCCCTGCTGGCTGCTATTACTTCAGGAGCCCCTTGCTTATCTCCTTAAGACTTCCAGTGTGCTCCAGTGTACCCAGTGTGTCTCAGAGCAACAGGCTGAGGGTCCTTGCAAGCACCCTGTACCTGTAACATTGTCGTGTTGTCCCACAGCTTGTCACGGGCAAGCTTGATATTATCCCTCTCCCTCTTCTGTAACTTCTTTAGAGGGAGCTTTGTCACAGAGTGAAACTAGTTTGGGTTCCAAATTAGGGATTCATCTGCAGAAGATACGGAAGAGCTGTTAAGATGTTAGCACCCATACACATTTCAGTTCAATTTGCAAATGAATGATGGGATATATGATGTCCTGACATTACAAGTGGGATTCAGATGCCTCGACATCAATATCTCTTGCACTGTAGACGTTGTGAGTTGTCCTGTGCTATGGGATCAACCTCCCATGGCTCCTTCGTGCCATACGTGCCACTACAGCATGGACGTTGCTGATATCCCAAGGATTAAGTTGAAGCATCCAAATCTTACCTTAATTAAACTTAAAAGGTTTCATGTGAGGGAGGTCTTCCGGAAAATATCTTGATTTTCCAGTCACCGCTTTCATATTGTCATAAAACTGCTTCTGTTTTTAATTGTTTTTCTGTCATGGGTGTCTTGTGTGGTTTGGGTTTTTTTGGTGTTCCTTAGAATACACGTATTTCTTGTGGTCCTTTACCATGTTCAGTGATCATCAATCAAGTTACAATCAATGATCAGGTTTCAAATGTAAATGAAGAAACAGAAAACACTTTGAGGTAGAGGCCTTGATACTGCTTGGGACAATTGTTTTGCAATGAAAACTAACAGGTAGAATTGTATGTGTTTGTTATTTACAGTTTTTGCTTTTGTTGCAAGATGCCAGTAAAATAAGAAAAAAAACATCCTGAAAAGGAATTGAATGTGAGGATTGTTTAGAAAAAAGGCACTTTTTTTTTTCTCCAATGAGAAATTTTCTCTCTCTTTTTCTCAGCTGAAAAATCAGCCGACTAAAGCTTATGGTGTGGTTGATACTCTAGAGTGAAGGGATGCCATCCAGAGGGACCTGGACAGGCTGGAGAGGTGGGCCCATATGAACCTCATGGAGTTCAACCAGGCCAAGGGCAGGGTCCTGCACCTGGGTCGGGGCAATGCCCAGCACAACCCCAGGCTGGGTGGAGAATGGCTGGAGAGCAGCCCTGAGGAGAAGGCCTTGGGGCTGTTGGGGGGTGAGAAGCTCCACACGCCCCTCAACGTGCGCTGGCAGCCCAGAAACCCCCCACCCCTGGGCTGCATCCCCAGCAGCGTGGCCAGCAGGGCCAGGGGGGGATTCTGCCCCTCTGCTCCGCTCTGGGGAGACACCCCCCAGTGCTGCCTCCAGCTCTGGGGCCACCACCAGCAGAAGGACATGGAGCTGTTGGAGCGGGGCCAGAGGAGGCCCCGGAGATGCTGGGAGGGCTGGAGCCCCTCTGCTGGGAGGGGGGGCTGAGAGAGTTGGGGGGTTCAGCCTGGAGAAGAGAAGGCTCCGGGGAGACCTTGGAGCCCCTTCCAGTCCCTAAAGAAGTGGGGCTCCAGGAAAGCTGGGGAGGGACTCTGGATGAGGGAGGGGAGCCCTAGGAGGAGGGGGAAGAGTTGACCCTGCAAGAGGGGAGATAGAGCTGAGCTGTGGGGAAGAAGTTCTTGGCTGTGAGGGTGGTGAGAGCCTGGCCCAGGTTGCCCCAAGAAGCTGTGGCTGCCCCATCCCTGGAGGGGTTCAAGGCCAGGTTGGAGGGGGCTTGGAGCAACCTGGTGTGGTGGGAGGTGTCCCTGCCCAGGGCAGGGGGTGGGTGGCACTGGGTGGGCTTTAAGGTCCCTTCCCACCCCAACCAGTCTGTGATTCTGTATGTTTTACAACATGTACAATCTATACCTGTATGTACATTTAGTACCATGAGCACAACTCATGAATTCAGAATTTTTTTCAATTCATCCAAATTTATAACTAGGTTCATGAAGCAGTTGGATAGTTTCACTTTATAAAAAGTGAACTATCTTAAGGATCTTCTAGCACTGTTTATATGACAGCTTAGTTTTTAGTTTAAAGATGTCTGTTTCAGCAGTAGGGACATATTTTTAATCTAGGATTAAAATATTGTTGTAAAAATAGATATTCTGATACCATTCTGAAGCAAGTATGGTTCTTTCCTATATGATATGTAGCAGCTTTTAGTGTTTCTGTGCACCTTTTGCTCCTTAACAAAACCATTGATGGTTTGAGGAAGGTAGGGGATGAGTGGAGGAGTAATTTATTTGTAAGATGCATAGTGTTTTTGCTTCGGTGGAACAGCACCCTCTTACAAAACTGCTGAACCAGACCTGGTGTAGTGATCGGGGTGCATTCAGTCATAGCAGAGGTAACTTTGACGACCTGGTTAAGGCAAGTCTCCTGTCCTGATATTCATGAACTGTCTGTTCAGTGACACAGCACCTGACATGTTCATGACACAGTACCTGTGTCACAGCTCCCCGGGTCAGGCAAAGCCTGGAAGTAGATACATGCAGGCCTTATCCATCTGATCCTTTAGGAGTCTCCCTGCTTGAGCTGCAAGCTCCTAGCTCTGTGTTGGACTGTCTTGCTGTGACTTCCTCTGCCTGCTACGCTGCATGGGCACTGCAATATTTCCCTTGAGCAAACTTGGCTGCCTTCTGGGAAGAGAGCTCTTGAGAGTTACCCTAACCAGGTGTTCTTCAAAGAACAGTGGCACGTCTCAACAGACACACAGACTGCCATTGTAACTTCCAGGCATCTCGGAGTCCTCCTAAAACAGGTTGCACCTTTTGTAAAATCTTCTGGCAATTTTCTGCGTGAAGACAATAAACCAGGCTGAAATCATAAATGCAGATAAAAATGTGTGTGAAGGCAGCTCTGAGTGTTCTTCCAGTGTTAGTTACTGGAAGAGTAACTAACTTCAGCAGAAGTTACTGATCACTGTCAGGAATTCTTTATGGTGCTTTGTCAAGCTGTACATGGAACACTTCTTTCCCATTTCCCCGGCAGTACTTGCATGCTGCCGGGCTTCTGCCATGGGTTGTGTAAGTGTACACTGCTGTTTGTGCTCCCTGGGAAGTGGCATTTGTCCTTTAGGTACTGCACAGACAGAAGGTTTCCAGATCTGATTGTCTGTGACACATGCACAGTGACTATTTTACTGTGTGACACCTATGATGCAGGGACATGTGTCCAGAGAGTCTATTTGGACTTTCTGGTTGCTGCTAAATAATACTTTCAGTAGAAGTCATGTTTTGTCTATACGTCTCCTGCAAGCTGTTGATCTTGAAGACACTGCACATATGTTGCAAATCAGGATTCACAGTGACAGATTGTACCATTAAGATTAAGAAAAAAAATAGTTACAGTTAAACAAAAACAAATTCAGAGATTTACACTAAGGAATGCAGAGAGAACACATGAGCTTCACAGCTAAAGTGTATCTAAGTTGGTGGATTTCTTCTATAGTTAGGAAGAGATGCACATTGTGCTGAAGCATGTAAAGAAGTACTGTCTGTAGAGCACATCAATACCCCATAAAGCAGGGGTTTTGCAAAATAATTCTGGGCATCACATTTTGTTAGAGTAGTGGGCAAATTAAAAGTTCAAGAGGACAGTACAAATGATCAGAAGTTTGGGAACCAAGACTCGGGGTATGGGCTGGGGAGCAGGGTTTGTATAATCTAGAGCAGTGGGATTTGGCTTTTTTTTTTTCTCCCCTCTTTGCAAACGTAATGTTTTTTCCATGTTTAGAGTTGCAGACCAAATACAGAACTTTTTAAAGCCTATAGGTAATAGGACTCCTGTTTAAGTTATTTCTGTGGGCCCTTAAAAGTAGCTCACTGATGACAGGCTGAAAATTACAGATCTATAGAATAGAAGTTAGAAGACAGGAAAGGAGAAAAATTAATTAGAAGATGGTTTAAGAGAAAAAGACAAAAAGCTGTTCCCTGCATTCTTAGCAGTGTGAGACTAGGATAGTGAGCTTAAACTGCAGGAAGGAGGGATTACTTCATGGAACAAACCAGTTTTTTAGTAACACAACACACAGCTAGAGAAGCTGCAGAAGGCAGTATGTTAGAGGAGAAGGTAGACAAATACTTGGTGGGCAGGAGGAAGATGGCCTGGATCATTTCTGTGAGCTGGATGTTACAGCTCAAATAATTACATTTACAGTGACCAGAGTTGCTTTGCTCATAATGAATAGTGCTGAAGAAATACTGGTTTATTCCTGAAAGGTGACCACATGTCCATTGTGGATTGCTACTTTACTCTGTTGTGTGGGAATACATCCTGGGGAATGGGCTTGGCCTCATGGCGTACAGGACACAGGGGGTACGCATAGGCCTCTTTGGGAGGTGCATGTGCTCTGCTTCTCAGGGGCTGTAGTCCAAAGTGGTAGATGTCAGCAATTAAACGTGCTGTGCAGCAATGGGATGAAAAAAATATCCTCTACGCCTTGTGTGTAAAGCAGCTTTATTGTCATCTTTAGCTGTCTGAGTTGCCTTCTTGCTTTTCCCTTGCCTCCCCATGACACCTGTTCTTCTTTATCAGGCAGTGCATTTACAACACATTGGTGCAAGCTGGGAGTTTTAAGAGGTGTTTATGATTACTGCTATGAGCTGTGTTTGTGGGTTACTCTAGGAGCCATCTAGTGGTACACTAATCCTGTTAAAATGTGTATAATAACAAAATATCTGTAGTTGTAACCAAGTCATGCTCAAAACGTGTGTGCATCCATGTATAAATATAATTAACTTTTGTTATTTCAGCTACAAGAAGAAAGATGCAGATTTATCTGTGGCTCAGGGTCGCATTAAGGATCTTGAAGTGCTGTTCCATAGAAGTGAAGCAGAACTCAATACTGTCCTGAATGAGAAACGCAGTCTGGAAGCCGAGGTGGCCGATTTGCGTGCCCAACTTGCTAAGGTATGGCAGTGAATGCTTCCCTGCTTTAGCACAGGAGAAGCTATGTATTGTAAAACTTGTTATTTTTCTTTGCGCTTAGTTTGCAGCCTGAACACCATTGATCCAGTTCACTTAGTGCTTAACCTTTGTCTGCCCCTCTTGCATATAAAACTAAATTGTAAGGAACCAAAGCAACACGGTGTTTTAGAAATTTTGCTAGTCAAAAGCTTATTTAAAAATTAAAATATTAAAAATTCCTGGTGTGTCTGTTTATGAGATACCAGGTTACTGAATGTTGTCCTTTGTAAGGTGCTGTATAATTTTAAACTTATATTGGAGTACCCAGTACCCATTACACTACCAAGAAAAAGAGCATGCAATGTATTGTGCTTGAGGAATTAATAATCCTCAGCTCCATTATCGTATTGCATTGAAATAATCCCATGTTTTAAATAACTAGTCTATAAACATGAAAGCTTGTTTTAAATATTCAGACACACACACACTTTTTCTTTCTTTGGGTTTTTTTTTTGTTTTTTTGTTTTTTGTTTTGTTTTTTTTTTGAAAATCAGTGGCTTGACAATAGATTTGTTGTTGTGAATAATTGGTTCAAAGATGTCAAATGAAGATCCTAAAGGGATTATAGATGGAAAATAGGGATCCAGACAAAATTACATCTTTATCTTTAAAATTCTTTACTAGGCTGAAGATAGTCATGCTGTGGCTAAGAAGCAGCTGGAGAAGGAGACACTCATGCGTGTGGATCTGGAGAATCGGTGCCAGAGCTTGCAAGAGGATCTGGATTTCAGGAAGAATGTGTTTGAGGAGGTATTAACAACCTAGTAATCCCATCATAGTCTGAAGATTATGTAGCTTTTATTCAAACTAACTATAAACAATTACTAACTAGTTCAGGTAGGAAAAATCAGTATTACCTTTGCTATAAATGGGTTGAGTAATAATGGTGATGGTTTTGCAGGAGTTACATGGTAAATCAGTGGCAGAGCTGGAATGAGAGCCAAGTGACAAGGGTGTTGTTCTGTGAGATTGGGCAGGTGAGCTAACTGACTGAGTGGGAAAGGGAAAGTCTCTTTCCCTCTCTCTGGACCTGGTTGCGTGGCACTTCATACTTGCACCAACTTTGGTGGGTGTTGGACCTGACTGTAACCTGTTCTCATTGACAAGAACAGTGTGCAATTACCCTGCTTTTTGCAGGGATATTTTTCTGCCTGTTTAGTGAGTTGAGTTAGCTCATAGTGATTCTAGCGAGGACCAGAGTTTTTGTAAAGTAAATAGTGGGAATGCACAGGTGGGGATTGGGAAAGGGAAGCATGATCTTCTCTCTGTACCAGATGCAAAGTGTTAGGTCAGTTTATTCCATCTTGTGGAAACCAACTCTGACCTTTGATTCGTCTGCATGCTCATTCAATTAATGGCTGCTAAGCAGTTGCCATATACTTCTGCCCTTCATCTCACCTATGCGAGTTGTCATGTGTGGCTTGCCGTGCACCAAACAATTTCAGCCTGATTAACTAGTAAACTAGGGTTTTTGGTTGAGTTTAATTCTTGCTAGCTTAGTGACCAAGTTGTGTCTTCCCACGGAATGAAACGAGTGCCCATACTGCATTAAAGGCTGGGGCAGGTCTCTGTGGCCAAGGAGAGGGGCTGCAGCAGAGCAAAGAAACCAACCAGGTAGGTCACACTGAGTTGTGCTGACCGTTTTCTCACTGCCATGCCCTGGAGTAGTTGGATTGCTGCGTGTGACTGCAGTGACAGACCCTTACTTGGTTGTAAGGCCTTAAAGTAAGTTTACTTCCTGAGGAGAGTTCTGTTGCTACTGACTAAAGGTGAAGCTGAATGAGACAATGGAATCTAATCTTAAAGCTTGCCATGCTGAAGTGGGCATGTTCCTTTAGCTGTCCCTGGAGCTCTGTGATACTTGTATGGAGCAATTCAACACGCTAAGAAAAGAAGGGAATTGGTTTCCTTTAGGTTAGTGAACTCATTTGATTCAGTGAAGGTTCCAAAGGTCTATTAGGGTTAGAACATCATGATTGGAGTGTGGCAAGTGAAGCCTGCTTATTCTAGTGGTGTTGAGCTGCTGGGTCTGTTCAGTCCTTCACCTGATAGTTTGTAGTCCCCCATGGTATTTTTGTGGCCTCCAAGGGGTCATTGCCTTGCAGCTACTGAGAGACTGCTGCTTGCTGGTTTTCCTGGTATAAAAATTCAACACAGAACCAGATCACATCAGGGCATATTGCTGTGAGTAGATGAGTCTATTTTTAGATGTAGAGCATTTCTGCAAAACAACTTGTTAAATTGTTCTGAATTTGCATTCGCCTGCTATGACTCCAGTCTAGGCTTGCAGAGCTTCACCTGCCTGCTCTTCATCCTCATGCTGCTACCTTCAGGCCTTCTCTCAGCACTGGGTGCTGCTCCCTTGTTTGTCCTAGGCTGAAGGGAGAAACTGTTTCCTTCTGATACCACGCATTCAGGCCAGGCCTCTTCAGGGCTCAGCATGAACAAGTGCATAAGTAGGTCTTACCTCACTAGTTTGGGAGCAGCGTACTCTGTGTCTAGTCATACTTGTCTAAAAATGAAAACTTATTAGTACAAACTGACCAGAAAATTGCTTGGGTTGTTGCTTTATTACTCATGTAATCAAAATCTAACAAGTCATCCAGTATATAGAAAAAGAGAAGATTTGCATGTGCTTGAAAGTGAAATTTGAAGATGCAGTTTTTATCTATAGTGATTATTTTTTCAATATATCTTAATTGTCACAAAAGGTGTTTGTTTTTATCTGACTCCTTGTAGCCTGGGATTGGAATGTGGGGATGTATATTGAGAAGGAAAAGGTTTGTAGTGCAGCACATTGAATCTCTCTTTGCTGTGTAAAAATTCATGTTTTCTTCTCTCCCCCCCACCTTTTGACTTTTTTTTGTAGCATAAAGCAGCTATTTACTTAAATTGTATATGGATATTTTTAAACCTGTTTTTAAGTTGGATCACTTCTAAGAATCGTATCCTTCCTACTGAGAACAGTAATTTGCATTTGTTAGTACCTGCAGTAATTCTTATGCTTAAATGCATTTAGTACTGTAGCTTCTATATACTATAATTAGCACTGAAATAGTTAATTGTTGTCTGAATGTAATTGCTTGTACTGTTTACCCTAATGTGGGAATTTGTCTTCATTTCTTTTTTTTTGTGTGTAGGAAATAAGGGAAACAAGAAAACGACATGAACATCGTTTGGTAGAGGTGGACACTAGTCGCCAGCAGGAGTATGAATCCAAAATGACTCAGGCCCTGGAGGATCTGCGAAATCAACATGATGAACAAGTCAAACTCTACAAAATGGAGCTTGAGCAGACCTATCAGGCTAAGGTAACCACTGCTGCCCACAGCGCTGTCTCACAGGACGTCCAGTTGGTGAGATAAAACCATTTCCATCAGTCTTACTGTCTTTAAGGAGACAAGTAATTATAATATGAAGAAGGTTTGTCCTGGTGTTCACATGCCTCCTCTGGTGTTGTGCGCAGATGCATTTCCAGGCAGGTTGTAGCCAGAGGTAATAACTAGGAATAGCTTTTGTCAAGAAAGGTCAGTTTGTGAGAAAACATGTGGAACTGTTGATCACTGCAGAGAACACAGAGGGGGAACAGTGGATCTCATGTAACAGCTGATTAAATAATGTCTTCTGCTGTAAGGGTTTTTTTTCCTTGATGTCAGTAGATCCAGTTATTCCTCAAAAATGGAGGTGGTGGAGGACACTTGCAATAGGTGCAATGTGTTGGCTCTAAGAAGCTGGAGGCATGGGTTAGAGAGCTCAGGGAATGGCTGTGTTTCAATATGGGCTTTTGCCTGGATGCAGTGAGCTTGCAAACTAATATGGACATACTGAGAAGGGTCTCCGTGTCTAAGGTTGCAGTGTCACTTTACCCTTACTGTGGCCTTGGCAATGTTCTTACTAGCCCCAATGCTCTTCTGAATCTGTTTAAGCCTTATGACATTTCAATCGTCTAAGTTAGTTCTGGATTGGAAAATTACTAGATGCATTTCATGGTTTCATTGGTGGCAGGGAAACTTCAGGCAAGGTGTGGAACTTTTTTGACTAGTTTTGGTGATGAAAACCATGGTCTATAAATCATAGAATGGTTTGGGTTGGAAGGGACCTTTAAAGGTCATCTAGTCCAACTCCCCTGCAATAAGCATCTTCAACTAGACCAGGTTGCTCAGAGCCCTGTCCAGCCTGACATGGAATGTTTCCATGGACTGGACATCAGCCACCTCTCTGGGCAACCTGGGACAGGGTCTCGCCACCCTTGCCATAAAAAAAAAAAAAAAAAATTCTTCCTTTGATCTAGTCTTAAATTTTCCCTCTTTTAGTTTAAAACCATTACCCTTTGTCCTATCACAACAGGCCCTGCTAAAAAGTCTGTCCTCATCTTTCTTGTAAGCCCCCTTTAAGTACTGAAAGGCTGCAGTGAGGTCTCTGTGGAGCTTTCTCCTCTCCAGGCTGAACCCCCCCAACTCTTTCAACCTGTCCTCACAGTAGAGGGGCTCCAGCCCTTGGAGCATCTTTGTGGCCTCCTCTGGCCCCACTCCAACAGCTCTGTGTCTTTCTTATACTGAGGACTCCACAGAGCTGGAAGCAGTGCTCCAGGTGGGCTCTCAGCAAGGCAGAGTAGAGGGGAGATGTGAACATAGGAGCAATTTAATCCAGGAGAACCCTGCTTAAACTTAATAAATATTTGCACTCTTTTGGTTTATCTGCCTGTTGTTGGGGATGAGTGGAATGCACCTCACTCAAAAGAGAGAAGCAGCAATTTGTTTTATTGAGGTAAAATAATAATTTGACAGAGTTCAATAAGTTTGATGGAATTTACCAGTGGTTTGACAAGGTTCAGCAAGTTTGATGGCAAGGTTTGCCTTGTTATTGCATGGAAGGAATGTATGAAGGAAAATTGAGTTAGATTCTCCCAGAGACTGAAGATGCAAAGAGAAAGGAGATCCTTGCTGTAGAGTCAGGAGGTTCAGAGTGGACCCCCTTACTTCCTAAACTCCTTTTGGAGCCTGGGTGCATCTGGAACCAGTTTTAATCACAAGAGTTGGTCAATGGTTTATGTTTAATGGAATTATCCATACAATGTTTATAATAATTTGTAGCAGCTACATGGATTAGTAAAGCTTCATAGTGTGCTGTATCAGTCACTTCCCAAGGATCTGTTGCGGGTGAGGGATCTCTCTGCCTTGGGCAAGGAAAGATCTCTTAGTCTCAAGTAAGGAATCTCTGACCTGGCAAGGTGTCCCTGCTCCAGGGGGGACCCCCTGGTGCAGCCCAGCTGCCCTGCAGGGAGAGCTCCAGTTGGGCACATCCTGACGGTAATATTTATAAGGTGGAGTAGTTGGCTGTTAGTAAATGGCATACACACAGGAGATGTCTTCGCTTTAGCTCTGGTATCTTGTTCCATGCTTTGGTTATCTTACGCTTTTGGGTTTTAAAACCACCTTTAAATCCTTTTCAAGATACCTTCACTCACTTGTACATGAGCCAGAAGCTTCCCAACTCACAAGTTCACCCTGAAGGTGAGGATGTGAGGCTTGTCAACCTGAACCAAAGTGCAATTAGAAATCACAAAATGACAGAATGACACAAAGTCAAGTCTATCAGTCACACCTGTGCAAATCCTGGGAGAGCAAAGCCTAGTTCATCCACACTGGGAACATGGGAGGAGTAGTAACTCTGTAACTGATTGAAGGTTACAGGGTTTTGGGGGGGGTTTGCTGCCAGGGTTTACCCTACCTGAAGGAATTAGGCAGCTGCCAGTTTTCTGATTATTGAAAGTACTTGCCAGTAATTACAGCCGTTTCTAATTCTTTTGTGGTGGAGAAATGACAGTGCTGCTAACATTGTTCTCCCCCACCCATCACTGAGACTCCCTTTGAGTTCTTTGGTTTGATGATTTGCAGTCTGAGAAACATTGATCTACAAATATTTAACCGTTTTTTAGAGTAGCAACAATATAGGTAATAGATACTAAAAACCAAAATCAAGTACAGTTAGCAGTCTTGGCATTATTCACAGAAGTTAGTATCATAGGATATTTTTATCTGAGATATATGGATTGACCTGTCATAGTCCGAAGAAGACCCAGGGCAGAAAATGCCTAATAAAATAACAAGAACAAAATGTCTGCAAAATACAGACTTAAAAGAATGGAAAAGTGACAAGATTTGAACAGGGAGGTGAAAAAATTAATCTGCTTTTCCCTCACATAAAAGGTAGTGGTTGTTATGGATGAAGTTGGAATTTGAAGGGAGAAACTGTCTTAGCTGTGAGCTTCATGCTGTGGATTTCTGGATAAAGATGTGTTCCTGTTCAGAGAGTGCCTGAGCTGTTAAGGAATATGATGTCGAAGCAAGTCGTTAAGTTTAGCTACTGAGCTTCTCCAGGATGAAAGGGGTTTGGGTAAAAGCTCACTTCTTGTCTGACCTTTGATAATAAGCAATAGAAATTCTAAATGTGAGAATTTGGCACTATGTCAGATTGACTGTAATGAAACAAATAGCTGTCAGCATTCAAATAACTTTTAATTTTTAACTTTACAAGAAGTAATGGCATATATCTTTGACTTGAAGTTCCTTCAAAATTCTTAGCCTAAAGAAGGCTGTATGTGTGTTATCTTCCCTACTCGGAACCCTGTGAACAGCAGAGCTAATGAAGATTGAATTTATAAAGCTTTCTTCTGTGTGGTTGAAGAATGTGTTCTGCCTGGTACTCTTCTTAGAATTGGGGTAGTTCAGCTCCGAGGTGGATTCCATGGTGTGTAGCAGAATTGTTGAACTCCAGCTGCAAGGTGTGAAAAGGATGCTTTTTCTAGCTATCTGCTTTGAAATTTCTCATGTAATGGGTTTGAGCTCCATCGTTGTTGTCTCAGATTTGGTTAAAATTAGCCACAAGAAATGAAGCTTGTTTACTAGGTGAAATGAACAAAAGCTGGAAACAAATTCAACAAGAAAGAGAATAGCCAAAAGCATTGTTTTGCCTCTGGGGCAGGGTGCGATCTGAAGTGCTGTGGGTAGTTTTAGTCCTTCTTGAAAAGGTAGTACAGAGTAATACTGAGGAGGCTACGACAGACAATTAGGAGTGTGAAACAACTCCTGCATGAAGAAAGTTAAAACTTAATCTGGGAAAAGAGAATGAGTTGAGGAAGGTTAAATGGATGTCTGTAAAAGGATAAATAGCATGGAGAAGGTGAATGAGGAGAGATTGTTTATTATTTTTCAGTAGAAGTAGGGACAGTGAGTGTCCAGTGGCAGATTTGGAAGAAACAAAAGAAGGTTGTTCTTCATTAATATATAGCTAAACTCCATGCCCCATAAATTCAAAAAGCAGAGAAATTCCTGCCTGAAAAATCCATGAGCTAGTAAGCATAAAAATCTCTCTCTGGCATAGGAACTCTCCAAGTTGCAGATGACGAGCTGAGACGTGATGCCTGTGGAATGTTTTATTGAGCTCAGTCCCTGGGCATCCAGGGGACACTTAGAGCAGGAAGCAAGCAGAGCCTGTGCTCTGACCCACTGTGATGCTTCTTAGGACAAACGGGCAGGTTGTATGGTCATATGAACCTCAGGTTTTGGAAACTATAAGGTTGCTTGTATAATGGAAGAGCTAATAGACTTTTTTTTTTTTAATGGCACAAGCAAATCCTATAGGAATAGGACTGAAATAGATTTTCCTGGCCCTTTGGGCATTTCCCTAATGTTACGCAATTCTTACCATAAACTTCTCAGAAGTCCTTTTAAAAGTAGTTTTAAATAGCTTCTATTTTTTAACCAAAAGGATATTTGCAGGGTATTTAACTCAATGCAAGCGACTTATATAAAACTTGCCTTCCAGCTGGAGAATGCCAAACTGTCCTCTGACCAAAATGACAAAGCTGCTGGTGCAGCTCGAGAGGAGTTAAAGGAGGCTCGCATGAGAATAGAAGCTCTCAGCTACCAGCTTTCTGGCCTTCAGAAACAGGTAAAGGGACTAAATTTGCTTTTATCTCTGATACAGAGCACACTGTATGTTTTTTTATATATAAATGTTTCTGTTCCTTCATATTTTCTGAATTTTATGGAGGGAAATCTTTATGTTCATTTGGGAGGGAGATAAATTTTTAACTTTTTTACTGTACCCACATAGATGCCAACTGGGTTTTCCATTGTGCTGTCTACCTAGGCTAGTGCAGCAGAAGATCGCATTCGTGAATTGGAGGAAATGATGGCTGGTGAGCGGGAAAAGTTCCGAAAGATGCTCGATGCGAAGGAGAGGGAAATGACGGAAATGAGGGACCAGATGCAGCAGCAGCTTACAGAGTACCAGGAACTGCTTGATGTTAAATTAGCACTGGACATGGAGATCAGCGCTTACCGAAAACTCCTAGAAGGAGAAGAGGAAAGGTACGTACAGATTCCACATTCTTTTCTTTGGACTAACAGGTGTTATTTTCATTTCTTATGGTTATTTTTTTTACCATTTGAGTAGGAACGCCCAGATTTTGTTTCACTGAAGCCATATTGGCTTCACACCACAATGTGTTGCATGGAACACGTATGTGGAATGCTTGCAAGTGTACTCATCTGAATGCTGTCTTTATTTTATTTTCATTTTTATGATGGTCTGTGGAGTACAGTGGAGTATATCATTGTGTGCTTGACATTCATCTCTTTAAATTTAAGTGCTTATACTTCTGTATTTTCCTTTTTAAATGATGTGGCCAGTGTGTTTAGCAGTTGATGCACTGGATAGGAGGGTTAAGTCATTTGTGTTGCTCTCATTAGCCATGTCACATAATCATACTACCAGAAAATTTCTCAGGGATGGATAGCCCTCCCCCTTTCATATGTCGTCTTCCTGATGCACAGGGTGAGGCTGCTTTCGGCCTTGGGGCATATTACGTGCTGGTTACTGAGCATATTGTATCTTTATTGCTTTGTGTGTAGTTCCCTGGATGTGTTTATTAAAATGCTTGCTTCGTTGTGTTAAGGTTGAAGCTCTCTCCAAGTCCCTCCTCCCGTGTTACAGTCTCTCGGGCTACCTCCAGCAGCAGCAGTAGCAGTACTTCCCTTGTTCGCTCTTCCCGGGGCAAGAGAAAACGTATTGAAGCGGAGGAGTTCTCAGGCAGCGGAACAAGTGGAATTGGCACTGGAAGTATTAGCGGGAGCAGTAGCAGCAGTAGCTTCCAGATGTCCCAGCAAGCTTCAGCTACAGGAAGTATCAGCATAGAAGAGGTAGACCTGGAGGGCAAATACGTTCAACTTAAGAACAACTCGGAGAAGGTGAGTGTCAGCAGAGCTCCTAGAAAGCAAAGAGGAGGAGCTAAATGGGAATGTTCCACAGCTGTCTGCAGCACAAGTAGGTGGAGTCACTTGGAGAGCAGGAGCAACATCTCAAGGTGCAGCATCCTGCAATAATAAACGAGGACACTTGAAAGTTGAACATTACAGTGTGCTAACACGAGTGTAATGTTTGCTGCAGGAAGAGAACACAGTTTATGTCCCAAATGTCTAAACGTGTTGTGGTACCTTGTGCATTTAAATAGCCTTGCTGGCTCTAGCAGAGCTTTTTTGTGTGAAATGTGTATTTCTTTAAATTTTACTGAATGACCTTACAGGATGTACGCTTCAGACTATTAATGGGTATAGAAAAATACTTTCAAGTTAGAATGCAGATGTCTAACAACCATGTGAATTAATTTAGATTAACATTATTTTAATAACAAGGAGACCTAGAGAAAGCTCTGATGCCTGCTTTCTCTGTTTTGCTCGCCCTAAATAACCTTATGACTCTCTCTGTTAGGATCAGTCTTTGGGTAACTGGAGACTGAAAAGGCAAATTGGAGATGGAGAAGAAATTGCTTACAAATTTACTCCTAAGTATGTCCTCAGAGCTGGGCAGACTGTAACAGTAAGTAATACTTGCAGTATGTCAACAAAATATTCTTTTGTCGATGCTGTGGCAGTTGTAAGTCTGTCTGTAAACCAGGTACAGCCTGATACGGTGTATAACTTTGGATTTCGTGGACCTCGCTTTAGAGGAGCAGGATTTCAGTTATAAAAATACAGAACAGAAACTGATTTTCCATATTAGCACTTCAGTATTTAAGACCGTTTCAGGCCAACTAAGGAAGTTGAAGAAAAAGGTATTGGGGAGGAGGGGGGTGGTGTCAAGGACTGTTTCTTTTCAAATACCTTTGCCCAGGTTCAGAATGCTAATCCTGCTCAGCCTCTTACCGAAATAGGAACATTTTGGAGCATCTGTCGTTAAGTTTAAGACTGGACGTTCTTGGCCTTGACTGTAGTAGGACAGCTGCTCTTCTATAATTTTGCATTTTATTTTCAGTCTGTAACGTGTTCTTTCAGAAGACAAAAATGGCTTGCTTTTAATCAGTTTCAGCTATTTCTACTCAAGTATCAATTGCTCAGATAAATATATAACATTAAATTGGTACACTACAAGCTGCATTTTGGCTCTGTCCAGTGTCATCATTGCGACAGTGATGACTGCAATATTAGGTTTTTTCTCTTTTTATTTTATGGCTAGTGTTACTTTTTGTGGTAGACTGAAAATAATACCTGACTACAAGTAATGGTGTAGGTAAAAGATTAAAACTGCCATTGGAATTTAGAAAAAGAACACTGGTATGTAGAGAAAAGTAGGAGAATAGAGGATTCTGTATATTTAAAAATTAAATATGTATGAATAGCTGATTACAGAATGTCTCACTAGATTTGGGGTGCGGATGCAGGCGTATCTCATAGCCCCCCTTCTGTTCTCGTGTGGAAGAATCAAGGCAGCTGGGGCACTGGAGCAAATATTCGCACATACCTCGTCAACTCTGAAGGAGAGGTAGGCTGTGTCTGTGGGCTGGGTTATCTCCTGGGCTTTAATTTGGGGAAGGAGGGGAGGGGACAGATGACAAAATCCTGATCTTAAGATCTCCCCTATTATCTTCTAAAATAAGACACTTTATAACACTGAAATAATTAAATATCTTTACCTAACTTGAGATTGCGGGGCAATTTTGGGAAACTGCGATTATCACCCATGACTTTTTCATCCTATTTTAGGAAAACACCCTGCTAGTAGAGAATTTGTTGGGAATTCGTGTTTTCAGAAGAGACAAAATAAGTGTTGCTGGCAATTCAAATTTGTATTACATAGTACCTATGATATTCTGGGATGCAGTGTAAATATTAACATAGGAAGATAGCTGTCCTTTCAATATTGGAAGCGTATCAGAAGTTTTCATTTGGCACAGGTTCCTGTGTATTCTGCAGTGTCCTGCATCTGCCCACAACTGGTTTCTTAAAACCATCCCTGCAGAAGACTCCTGCAAGGGAGGATCTACTTTGGCTATTATTCCTGAACGTGCCATTATCCCATGATCTGATAGAAACAGGAGAGTGAAACAGACCACAGTTGTATCAGTTTTCATGCTGCATTTCTTGCTGGTAATTCTGTAGAAGCACTTTGTGCAGGAGCAGCATCACAGGACGAAGTAGGAGGGACAGTCGTTTGTACAAATAGAAAGCTGACTGGCTTAGTGTTCAAATAGAAGTGGTTAAATGGAATCTGAAAAAATTTCAAATCCATGTCTGTTCCCAGTGTGGTTACCTTTAGCATCCCTGCTTAGAAGGGTATGTTTAGAGTGACTTTTTCCAAGTAGAACTTTGCATCTGTGATTTCAGGAGTGCAAGCGTACAGAAATTTTTACTACGAAGTGTTAAAAATAATTTAATAATAAAGGAAGCTTCCTGAGGTTTTAGAATTCTTTTTAGTGGCTGATTTGGAATACCATCCTGATTATTGATACATGAAATTGATACAGAGTATTTAGTAGAAATTTGGAATATTCTTAATGCTGTGTAATTATACTGAGAAACTTTAGTTTATCACAGCTTGTAGCTGGGTCTGCTATGAGCTTATATAAAATTGACTAACATGGCTGCTGCTTCTCAAATCCCTAGGTAATAAAAGAAAATTCCTGAAGCTAAATTACATTACCATGCCTTTTACTGAGTAGAAATAAGAATGTTGTGGCTTGCAGGATATTACCAGTATTTGCTTGCATAGCTAATGTTAAATTGAGGGCAAGGTGCTTTAAACTCTCCAAAATTTAATTAGGAGTACTAGATTTATGTATATTATTATTGGAGTAAATTACGTTGACTTAAGTGATCTCCTTATCTGTCATTTTGTGTAGGAAGTTGCAGTGAGAAGTGTTACTAAATCAGTAGTTGTGCGAGAGAACGAAGAGGAAGAGGATGAAGCGGAGTTCGGAGAGGAAGACCTTTTCAACCAGCAGGTAGTAAGATGGAGACCAGATGTTTAATTTGTGACTTTTTGGTTGGATTAATCAGGCATAAGCTTTAGGGAGAGTCCCTTCAAGTCTTGCCAGCTCCGAACTTCGTAGTCCATTTTTCTGATGGATGCTTGCAGAGGAGGATCTCACAGCCCTGCAGTGTTACTGCGGAGCACAGCAACTCTCTGACCGTGAGCAATTGCTGCTTGAATCAGTCCTGGTGCAGCTCGAGCAGTGGCTGATGTCAGGTCAGGATGCCAGGGTATCTGTGGAAGGATGCGACAGGTCGCAGATTGACAGCATTGCAATGACATAGGCTATTATAGGGTTAGTAAGACTAGTTCTAGACAGTGTTCCTCCCATTCCAGTATTTGCTTCTCTATAAAAAAGAGTCTGTGTCATTCTTGCTGTTAACAGAATTATAACAATTGGGAAAAATAACCACTAAAACCCAGGAGGAGCAGAGGGCTTCTGTTGCTGCCAGCTTCAGTTTATTGGTTACATTCTGATAGTATTTACCTGCTACGTCTGAAATAAACTTGCTTTTTCTTAATAATAGCTCTGATATGTTTTCATAACCCTTAGTTAAGTACTGTGAAATAACTGACCAGCAGCAATCAGAGTGAAGAGAAGGAAGGTACTTCATCCGAGTGATATCAGAAAATATTTTAAATTTATTTCAAACTCAAGCAGTTTGTTCTCCTACTGGGTGGCCATTAGTAGCTTTTTCACAAAGGCTCATTCTGTGCAAGTTTGAAGTTGAGTTCTGAAAGCTAAAAAAGCTGGTCTCTTGGAGATTGAGCAGTGTATTTGTCCCATAAAGCAACTGAAACAGAAGCTTTTTTTACCCAAAGAAGCAGTTATGCAGCATAGATCTCTCTCAAACGGAAACATCATTTCAAATAAGGGAAGGAGCTTCCTGTTCTAAAGCTGATGACATCGCGCTTTTCAGTTGTCATCTGTGTCAGTGTTGAAGGTGTGGAGATTTGCCCATCATGGGAAACCGCAACCAGAGTAGCAGAGCCTTAATCCGAAGGCAGTAGAAGAAGGCAGTAGACTGACTTCTCTGTAGCTGTGATGGTCCCTGGATAGAACTAAATTACAAAAAAAAAAAAGCTTTTAACAACTGAGATAACCAGGGTCTGGGCTTACAATATGAAAAGCTGGTAAGGATTGAGTTCAACTACGTTTGTCTTATTTTAGGGGGATCCCAGAACAACCTCGAGAGGATGCTCAGTGATGTGAAGAAAGAAAAAAGAAACTTGCTTTTTTGTTGTTTTGGTTTTTTTTTTCATTTATTTCCTTTTATTTTTGCTATTTTTTTCCCTCCAGAGCCACTGAAAACTATTTTTATATGCATCATCTGATTTCTTTGAAGTTTACTCCTTGGTACATTTTGATAAAAAAATTCAAAAAACAACCTTTACTGAACAAAACTGCCAGAATTTTTAATAGATTTATTCATGTTTCCTCCTCTTTGTTTAAACACTATATTGGAATACAATATTTTTCCTCATACAGAGTTTAAAGTCTTACGTACAAACCTGCAGCAGAAAAGAAACTTCTAGCTGACATGGGATGAGAGTCCTTGAGTAAGTCTGTAATTGGATATAGAACCAGGATAACTCAAGAAAAAAAAAAAAGAAAAGTGTGAGAAAGCGTGTTCATCTGCAGAGCCCCAGAAGAGCTTCACAGCAGTGCTTCCTCTGTGCTTTAAGAGAATGTAGTATCCTCAGCAGTGCCCAGCTTAGGAAAATTATAGGCTTTGACAGCCTAGTGGTAAAAACATCAGTGTCTGTCAACAGCTTAGCGCCAAATGATTATTTCAGAAGCAGGCGAATGATGGGTTCTGCTCACAACAGCTTAGGGTATGGAAGGGCGAAAACTAGAGTTTTATTTTCAGGGGATTTTGACATTGTCACCAATGAGACCTTGTTAAATCATGGATGCAAGTTACAATGCACAGTATTTGTGATGTTAAGCATCGTGATTTAATGCTTTTCACATATTCAGAATTAAACAGAATAGTTACATTTTCAGATGTTAAAATGGGATTTTAAAGGTTATCCTGTGTAAATGTTGACTTTTTTTAATCTGAGCTCACTGCAGCTTTTTCATACTTCCCTTATATTCACAGGGACATTGTCAGATATCTTAAAGAGCAGTATTTGCAAAATACTACAGAAATGGTTTAATGTCTTTTTTTAAAAAAGTTAAAAGGAATTACTGTTTAGGGCATAAGCATTGTTTTGCAGGTGTTCGAATGCTTTAAGTAAAGTCTAACAGTGAGTGAAGGTAGAATAATACTTCTTATTACAAAGATGCTTTTATGAGTAGCAGGTGACTTTTACTTCAATGTGATGCGGTTCGTATCTGACAGTGTCCCTTTAGCTTAAGGTTTCTTCTGCTGCATTTCTGTGGAGGTAGCTCTGACTCCCATAGGGTTACTATTCATATAGTAGTGCGTCTGTTAAGCACTAGGAAAAATACTTGGCTGCTCCAAAGAATGTATTGGCTACTGTACCAGCAAAAGTTGTTCTGTTTTGGTTTTTTTTTTTTCACTAGCTGTTAGTTTGAATACAAAATTTGGATACCATTAGATGCCAGCATAGAATCCTGTTTTTACCTGTACTGTTGAACTCTGATCTTGTCTTTCAAACAGTTCAGACTCATCAAACAAGCTATAAGGTTTGGATGTTTTCGGTGGCTTTTGGACATTATGTTCTCTGAACAATATTGTGACTGACGGATATAACCTAGAAAGTCAGTTTAGTGGCTTTGACTGATGGCTTTGTAATGCGAGCAGGGTGGGAACAAAGGGGTTTTTTAAGCTTACGGATTTATTTTGCCATTTAAAAATAAATCAAAGATGCTACTTTTCTCTACGTGAGTGGGATGACTGTATTATTGAAGGTAAACTAATAGAAATTTAGAACTCTTTTAAACCATTATCAGAAGATCTATTATAAAAAAGCAGGATGAAGATTTGGTTGTTTGGTCTAACGGGATAACTTTATCGATGCACTTGTCCATTTTTCTAAAGTAATTTTCCCACTCTGCTTGAGTAGAAGGTTAAATATGTAGTAAATCATGTCTATCTCTCTGTAAAATGTATCTTGTGAAATTATGTTTCTCAGACATACTGTTATCAATTACCTCCTCTAAATTTGTTTTTATGCAAATGAATGCAATCAATGTAAAAGTGTTTTTGCAGTGCACCTTCCAACCACTGGGCAGCATTTCCCTTTCTGACCCACAGCTTCTATAATATACTTTGCATAATGTTTGAGGGCTTTTTTTCTAAAGGTCTGTATTTATTTTTTTTTTTACATTGGCCAGTTTTCAGATTGCTTATTCTTTAAGATTGTCTTGTAAATTTGAGATAGTTCTGTGATCTTAAATACTAAAGCAATGAGTGTGTAGTTCATTTGCATTTTTTCTGTGACTTTCTTTTTTGTTTCATTTTCTCCTGTAAAGAATGGGCTGGGAAAGGCAACTTCAATGAGGAAAATGTCTTGCTACCTGAGCCATAGTTTTCTTAACAGCTACTGTATGGGAATGTGTCTTCTTGTAGCCTGATGGACTGGTGCTCACAGATCTGTTGTGATGAGCACAGTGCCCTTCGGTAACAGTCTGTGGAATTTGTCCTTGGATTTGGAGCTGTGTGCTTTAACTTTGGAAACAGTTTATTTTATTCTTCAGTACCATGTTTAGGTACATACATGTGTTCATATAAACCAGCAATTGTCACTGTGGGAAAAGCGGAATGCCAGCAGGCTAAAGGTGGGTGATTCTGTTGCCACAGTGCTTTCTAAAAGGTTACTAAAAATAGGAGAAATAATTCCTAGCTGTAAATTACAAGACACAGGAAAAACTACTGTATTCCATATATTTCCTTGTGTGTGTGTGTCTTCTCTAGATGCCATCCTTTCTTCTTGCTTTTGATGCTGAGCTGCAGTATAAAGGCACTGTCTCTTTACAGCTGGTGCTCTATACTGAGAGCTTTACCAAAAAGCATCATTTCTTTTATATTTTTTTCCTGACTTTCAAGAATTTCATTTTTTTTTTTCAGGATAATTAAAGCTTTTTGTTCAAATAAAATGTAGTGTCCCCTTGCCCTCTTTCCCTTTTTGATTGTCTATGTGAACCACTCTTTAAGAAGTTGGAGAATAGTCAGCATTTCTACTCCAGTGTCTGATACAGGTGTAGAGTTTGAAGTAGAAATGGATTTGACTTGGGAAGAGAAGAATTACCATAAGGCTTCTCTGATTAGGGAAACTAACCAGTATAGCTTTTATCAAAAGTAGTTACTGGAGTGTAACTACCTGTATGGATTTTTCTTAGAAAAATAAGCAAACAACTTTTATTCTGGATGAAACAGTAAAAAAGATTCCTAAATGATTCTCACTCGTTAAGAGGGGAAAGGAATAACAGAACACCTGCAGCAGAATAGTTAAGCCATTATTTTCACTGTGTAGATTGTAACAGTATCATATAAACTAGGAGGGATGCATACTACCTGCTCCTTAGTTTGTACCAGGTGAAAATGCTTGTGTCAGAACACGGCCATCCACCTGCAGACCCGTGGAACGTGGTGTCCTGCAGAGGGAGAGATGGCTACAGAGAGCTGCTGACGTTTCATGCCACTTCTTTCTCCCTCACTTCTGTATTTGTGACTTCAGCTTTTGTGTTGCAGTAACTTATTCCAAGTCACAGCGTGGCCATGATTCCTTTGTTGCTGCACAGCTTTGTTTCCCAGTGTGTCTCCTTAGGCTGGCTGGGGATTCTGGACTTGCCCTGGCAGAACCAATAGTTTACACTGCTGCGTTGATCACTGGTCTTCAGCACTGTTTTGCCATTAGATGGGTGTTGCCTGGCACAATTTGTAGCAGGAATGAAAAGTCTCAGGAAGAAAATACCCATCTGCTTCCCATGCCCTGTCACATAAAAGCCAGACGAGGTTGTCTGCAGCTTGCATTAGTCAGGAAAATTGTATTGCCGTGTGAAGCAGACCCTACTGTGAAAGGAGATCACTTAATGTGCATGTTTGTCCTTGAACAACAGACACCTCATGTTCAGTTCAGGGATCTTACTGGCTTTTATACATCCTTTTTTTAAATACTTGTCCTGTATAAAGGCCCTTTAACTGCAACCTGAACAGGGGTTAGTTAGAAGAGGCTTTTAGAAATCCTCTCTACACCCCAGAATAATTGAGAATGTCTTTTTTGTTGTTGTTGTTGTTGTTTGTTTTTGTGCATCAGACTATGATGCTGTATGAAAACATGTGTGCTGGGTATTCCTGTTTCTTGTAGCCACTTGTCTCACTTCCTCACTGTTAAGCCACTCTGTCTCTTTCTGTATTTTCTTTTGAAAGTCTTATCTTTAAACAAAGGCATATCTGTATTGTTACTGGATTTTTTTCCACTGTTGGGTCCAAGCCCTGTGTGACCATGAAACAAAAATCTGTTGTAAACCAGTGAGTGGAAGGTGAGATAGTGATTGCATTTCTCAAAGCACTGTTTTAGCTGAATGTCAGGACAAATTATATTGGAGAGTTTCTTTTTTCACTTAAAATGGCCTGGGAAACAGAATTTTTATTTGCCCTTGAATATGCTTAGCTTTAAACCAGTTACAGTAATTTAAAAGTGGGGTTTTTTTATACAAGACCATATTTACATGCAATTATTATTTGTAAACATAATGCCTTTCTTGAAATGCTAAGGTCTAGAGAATGAAAAAGATGCTTAATATTGAAAGACTCTGAGAATAGCACAAGCAGTGAATTGACTTGGAGTTCATGAAAATAAAATGTGTTCTATTGAACTTCCAAATTTTCTAGTTAGCTTTTAATGATGTGATGATTCCGTGCTGATGAGGTAGATGTTACAGTGTACTCCAGCTACCCAGATCATCGTTACACTAAAATCACAAGCAATAAGCTGTCTTAAACAAGTTTAAGCCAAAATGCTTTCCATTTGGGCAGAATAATACCTTCTCAGTTGAATTCTATTTTTGTAACAGTGATGCCTTGTGACTTGAATTGTGTTTTCTTTATTTTTTAACACAATCTTTATTCAGATACCTCTGGTTTTAGGTCACTGGTCAGTTTAACTGACCACCTCTGGTCAGCTGCTACAGATGAGGATTTGGAAGGTTCACGTTTTTAAGGAATAGTGAAAAAGGTTGCAAATTGAAATATAAAGACACAATGATGAAAATGTTCACATGGAACTTATGAAAACTACATAATGATCTAGACTTTATCATTTCAAAGTGTTTTTTTTCTTTTTAGAATATGCATGCCAAATGTCTTGTCTTTTTCAATGATTTGTAATATACATTTTATGACTGGAAACTTTTTGTACAACACATTCGAATAAATGTTTTGCATTTTATGAGTTTCCTTCTTTGATTTAACCATCACAGAGGCCACATGGGCTGTTTGAGATGATTTATCCCAGGAAACCTTCCTGTGTGTGGAGACGGGATGATGAGCTATGCGCACTCCTAAAGGAGATGAGCCACATCGCCTCGTGTGCTCCAGGAGTAAATCAGTGCTTTCCTTTAAACTGTAGGCAGACACAGTGCCCATGGAAAGCACTGGACCGGGTGATCAACAGCACTGCTCCCAGCAAAAGCAGAGGGAAACATGAGTAGACGAAGGTCTCCTCCCTTTCTCTCCCTGACCTCTCCAGCCCCCACACTGAAGGGCTTGTTTCCATTTAGATCTCCCCTCGGCCTCATTTTCTCCAGGCTCAACCCCCCCAGCTCCTTCAGCTGCTCCTCACAAGACTTGTGCTCCAGACCCCTCTGGACACACTACAGACCCTTGGGGTCTTTCCTGTCCTGAGGGGCCCAAACCTGGACACAGCCTTCGAGGTGGGGCCTCACCAGTGCCCAGTACAGGCAGACGGTCACTGCCCCAGTTCTGCTGACACAGGCCAGGAGGCTGTTGGCCACCTTGGCCACCTGGGCACACTGTTGGCTTATATTCAGCTGCTGTCTGTCCACACCCCCAAGCTCCTTTTCTGCCAGGCAGCTCCAGCCACTCTACCCCCAGCCTGGATTGTCCGTGGGGTTGGTGTGACCCAAGGGTAGGACCTGGCACTTGGCCTTGTTGAACCTCATCCCCTTGGCCTGGCCCCATCCAGCCAGCCTGTCCAGATCCCTCTGTAGAACCTTCCTACCATCTTGCCCAGTTTGGTGGCATCTGTGAGCTGAGGGTGCCCTCGATTCCCCTCACCCAGGTTGTTGATAAAGGTATCAAACAGAACCAGCCCCGATACTGAGTGCTGGGGAACACCCCTGTGACCGGCCACCAACTGGACAGAGCTCCATTCACCACCCCCGGCTTGGCCTGGCCTCCAGCCAGTTTTTCCCCCAACAAAGTCTCCATCCGTCCAAGCCGTGGGCAGCCAGTTTCTCCAGGGGCGTGCTGCGGGAAATGGTGTCCAAGGCTTTACTAAAGTCCAGGTAAACACCCTCAGCTTCTCCCACGCGGGTCACCTTGTCACGAAGGAGGTTTAACCAGCAGGACGGGCCCTTCGTGAGCCCCTGACTGCCCCCTGCTGCCCGGGCCGCGCCCTACCCGCCGCGTGCTGGCGCGCGGGATGACCCGCGAGGCCGCTCCAAGGCCCTTCCCACCGCCTCAGGGCGCGGGGCTGCGCTGACCCCCCCGGTGCGGCGGGACGGCTCAGCCCCGCGGGACACCGGCTCCCCACAGCCAAGCCGCCGCGGCCGCCGGTCCGTGCCCGGGACCGCGAAGCTTTCTCAGGGCGCCTCGGCCGCTGGTGACACCGACGCCCAACCCGACACGGGACACGGGCCGCCCCTTTCCGCCGCGCAGGGCGAGAGCGGTGCGGTGCGGGCGCGGTGCATGCCGGGAGCCGTAGTCCGGGGGAGCCGCCATTTCGCCGGCAGCGTGGGCGCCGCCGCCCGCCGTGACTTTGCGCCATGGAGAGCGGCTTCGGCTCCGACTTCGGCTCCGACTTCGGCTCCGGGGGCGGCGGTGGGGGGAAGCTGGACCCGGGGCTCATCATGGAGCAGGTGAAGGTGCAGATCGCCGTGGCCAACGCACAGGAGCTCTTGCAGGTCAGGAGAGGCCGCGGGGACGGGCGGGGGCTGCCCAGCGGTTTGGGGGGAGGGCGGGGGGTGCGGGGAGGGGATCGCGACAGCGTCCGGTGCTCCCGGCTCCGCGGCTGCCCCCGGCCGGTGCCCGGGCTCCTCTCACGGCCTCTCTCCGCAGCGCATGACGGATAAGTGCTTTCGGAAGTGCATCGGGAAGCCCGGCGGCGCGCTGGACAACTCGGAGCAGGTGAGGGAGGTCGGGGGGACGCGGGGCCCCGCCAGCTCCAACCCCCCCCGGCCCGGGCCGACCGCAGGGGGTTCTCTGTCCCGCAGAAGTGCATCGCCATGTGCATGGACCGGTACATGGACGCCTGGAACACGGTTTCCCGAGCCTACAACTCCCGGCTGCAGCGGGAGAGAGCCAACATGTGAAGCGCTGCGGAGCCAGGGAGGGACCATGTGGGGAAGGGACGAGCGGCCAGTCCGGGTGGCTGGGGGCAAAGTTCTGCTGCCTTTCCAGCCCCTGCCATGGCAGAGCAATAAACCCTCGCTGAACCTTTTGCATCCATTGGCTTTTATTAGCACCAGCCCCAGGAGCGAGTGAATTTTCTGGTCTTAAGAGCCACCGTGAGCTGCTTGGTTTGCCTCAGACCCTCCCCGACGGTCCAGCCTGGCCGTGGCTGATAAATCCCCGCTGAAAGGGCTGCGAGAGGCAAGGAGCCTTCTATGGAAAAGGTGGGCCAAGCCAGCACTACAGTCCCTTTGCCCAGGAAGCCAGCGTGGACCCAGCTGTCAGGTGGTTACCCGGTCCCTTTTCATCAGTGGAAAAGCTGCCATAAAGTGCTCCACGTGCCACACTTGGCTCTTTCTTCCCTTGTGTTTGTGTAGCTGTACATGGGGCTCACTTTTGGGCTTGTATGCTTTGACTCAGCTCAAGCAGTGTGTTGGGGAGCAGGGCTGCTCTTACTGGGTTTGCAGCACAGCCTTGCGAACAGTTGTGCAAACACAGCTGGGAATGAAAAAGGTTGGGAAGCACTTAGGCTGATTTCTTTATAGAATAAAACGTGTTGTGTGGCTGTGATATTCTGTAACTTGTCTGCTTCTGGCACAGACATTCCATCTGGGAGCCTGCCTTCCAGGCAGCAGAGGACTTGGCTCTGCTTTGGGGCTGAGCTCTGTATTGTTCTTGGCTTACACAGCTCTCCTGGGAAGGCTGGTGTGTGCTCTGTACTCATCAGCAGTGTGCACAGCAGCTGGGAGAGGAGAATGTTGGAGATTAGAGTGCCTATGCCCCCACAGTGAGATTTTTGAAATCCATTCTTTTGAAGCTCTAGTATTTCACTGTTTGCTGGGGCAGGGAGACTGGAAGGATGATATCTCCTTAGCTGCTAGGACATGCAAAGGGAGAACCTGAGTTCATTTAATTTCCCAAGGCGGTGGCTTCTATGAATGTGCTAAAGTGTTCTCACACAGGGTGCAAGATTCAGAGAAAACTGAATATTTGGACTAATTGAAACAGAACTGCAGTTTTCCATCCAGATTGGGCAGAATGGCTACTTGAAAATAAACTACTTTCTAGGCATGTTTGATTAAAGGCCTTTTTACTTTTCTTTATGGCTGTATGAATATTGTCGTACTGGCTGTGCAGCAGTCCTGTTTCATTGATGTGAGCATCCCACAAGTGTTCCAGCCATGAATCTGAATCCATCTTGAGCTGAGCCATGCCTGGAAGCCAGGTCTCCCATCTTGCTACTGCTCTAGCAGGGAAAGTGATGGATCTTGCTGCCAGCTGGGTTGGTAAAGAAGAAACCTCTTACTACACCCAAATGTAGAGCTTAAGTGCCAAAGGGTTTTGGGGTACTAGCTACTGTTCAGTTTTGGTGGTCAAATCTATGAGGAGATGTCTAAATCTGCCTAAGACTTGACTTGTGAGCTCTGCAGCAGCTTTTTCTTGTGAACAAAGGTGTCTGTCTGCCTTATGCTGGCTAGTGGGACCTGACTTCCCACTGGAGGTGGTGTATCCTTGGACCACTACCTCGGCACTTTGAATTTTTCCCATCTAGCTTAACCAGAACAGTGGTCTGCGTGGCTGTGCCTATCAATTTAATCACTTGTTCCCTTATGGAAACTGGGAGCTGGAGGTGTGGGAGGATGTGAGAAGCCTGTCCTGATTCTCCAATACACATGAGGGCCTGTGCAGTCTTAAATCCAAGTGTTTTAGTTCTACCTTCTCTTGTGACCAAATGGTGAGCCAGGGGATCACTACTGAGCTTACTAGTACCAAGCACTGAGTGGAGACAGTAGCATACCCTTTCCAAAAGCCATTCACAACATAATAGCTCCATCAAGGCAGCGAGGTCTGAGGCTTCTGCAAAGGTGTAACTCTGGGCTGGGGCACAGTTCACTTGGCTCTTGGCTTGGCTTTGGGATGACAGCTTGCAGACAGATGTCAGCCAAACTACGTGAATCTCTGGCAGATGTTTCGGGTGCTCTTCCAACTAGAAAGGCCACGTTTTAATGTGTAGGATGTTTGGCCAGGTCTTAAGATGGGACAGACCTCATTTATTTATAGAAAATGTCTAGAATTGTACCTTTCTATGCAAAGCAGTTATCTAATGCCCTAGTGTCATAACTGCAGTGGGTCACACAACACTGGCATTCATTTAATTACCTGCAGGCTATCTTCGCCTCTTGGCAGCATCCAAAAAATTGTACAATATCTGAGGGGTTAGTGCATCTTCTGGCAATTACTCCTCTCATTCGTCGCCTTCCCTGAGTGTTGAAATGCAGCTTCAGAGCTTGAGGTTCTGCGCAATCCAGCCCTGGACAGCTGTGACTTTGGTGTAGACACCAGGGAAGTATGGCCTGGCACAGCCATAGCCCCAGCTTGTGATTCCTGCTAGAAACCACTTCCCTGAGGGTTCCTTACATGCCAGGGGCCCACCTGCATCGCCCTGCAGAGAGAGGAAAAGGGTCCTGTATCAACCCAGAAAGGAAACCCAGCCCCCCCGGCTGTGGGTTTTCTTTCTGGGACATAGAAACATTTGCTGTCCTGCTCCCCACCTCCCCAGGAGCCTGCTTCTAAGCTGGAGGACTGCTCTGTGATGTACTTGCATGCACAATCAGAAATGGGCTCCATGGTACCCCTGTGGCCTCTCATTTGGCATTGCCTCTCTCTCTGCTTCCCTGACCTGCCACACCGGGCAAGCAGAATGAGGTGTGTGCAGGACGGTCTTGGGTAATGGCAACAGCCCGCGGAGATGGATGGACAGACAGCTGAGCTAGGGGAGGCAGGGCAAGGCCCCCCTGAGAGGGTACAGCCTGGGGACTTGGCACAAGTTGGCTCTGGCAGCCGCAGCATCTGCTGCTCTCGCACTCACTGAACAACTGTCGACGGAGCCCTGTGGGAAACCGGCACACACCATCCTGCTGCTGATCTGCACAGGGTAGAACTTCTTGCAGGCCTGGTCTCCGATCACGTTCACTGCTGCTTTTTGCAGGTGCTTTGACAAGAGACCTGAGGAGACAAGCATGGCTGTTAGCTTGGTGCAGAGCGCGCGGGAGGCTGCAGCACGCGTAGGAGCAGGGTCTCCATGGCCTCACTCGCCAAAGGGAGAGGCCTGCGCTAGGACAGTGAATCGGGGCTGGTTCCTCCCCAGCAGAGCAAGCAAAAGATGGTCCCTTTGGTGTGTACTTTGTCAGGCAGCTTAACCGACCAGCCAGAAATAGTACCGGGATGGTCCTTGTGCTGCAGGAGCACAGCTGGAGCAGCTGCTGCGGGGATGGGGAGCACAGTGGCTGGCATGCAGGAAGCTTGGGAGGGCTGCAAGAGGGCAGAGATGTAACCGAATGGAGGAGCACGGTGCATGGTAGCTGGGGAGGAGATTGTGGCGATGGCAGGCCTTGCCCAGGTTGGTATCCCCTGCGGGGTCCAGCCTAGCATGGGGAGTGTTTGGGGCGGTGGAGTGGGTACTGCAGATGTTTGGGCTCACAGGGTAGGTGGCACATCATGGATGTGAGGGAGCCCTCTCAGCCAGTACCTCCTTCCTTTGTGGAGCCCCAGCCTGTGATGAAGCATCTGGCCCCTTCATGGAAGATGTGTGAATTGTGTGGAACACATATAGGTTTGATGGTGTTGCTGAACTTGACAGGTGTGTTCAGCTCTAGTAGTGCCACATCGTAGTCCAGGCTGTAGACATTGTAAAACGGGTGCTTGTAGATACGGAATATTTTCTCCATTTTGCCATCGACGCCACTCAGGAAGGGTGTTCCTAGAAAGGCTACCCACATTTTGGGATCACTGTAACTGCAGAAAGACAACAAACCTGGTTGTTAGGAGCATGGCCTCACAAGGGGGGCTGTTCCTTCAGCTGTGGGGCTGGGATGCACTATGGCCACACCTTGTGAGGCCAGGACCCCTGTCTCCATCATGCTGTGGCATACCCAGGCTTTGCTCCACTCATTCCTCTTCATGCTTATTTGTAGGGAATGTGTGGGCACAGCATCCCAGCCATGGTACGCGACTGTGAGGAAGGGGAAAGGGAAGTGGGCTGATGGGCCAAGGGTCAGCTGTTTTCACTAGCCCATCTCAGACTTACATATCAAAGCAATGAGCTGCAGAGAGTAGCCACCGGTCAGCAATGAGGACAGCCCCACACTTGTGCTCTTTCTGCCGAAGCCAGAGACTGACTTGCCAGGGCCATTCTCCTCGCGCTGCAGTGCTGCCACCCACGATCTTGCTGAAGGCCAGAGAAGTTGTTAAGCCACAGTCTGGGACAGAAGGAGAGGCATGGTGGTTTTAAGTAACCATAAGTGAAAGCAATAGCTGCCCTCCTTCCATAGTCTGTGCCATGGGGCAGCCTTCTGGGGAGACATACACAGGGCGGTAGGATGTGATGACTTCCATTCGCCTATCTGAGGCAAGGCTTGGCAGACAGGTATGGTTTGGGGACTTGTTATCACAGATCACAGCTTCCAGGGATATGAGGAAGGGGACATTTGGATGGACTGGCTGAGCTGTCATCCAGCAAGGAATGTGCAATCCAAGAAATGGTCTCAGGGATAACAACACATCTTCTGGTCTGCCACATTCTGCAGAGCTGTATCAGCAGACTGACTGGCCAGGGGGCCTGTGTGCTGGGACGTGGGTTCTAATGCTCATAGCACAGGAGAAGAGGCCACATTCCCTGGCAGAAAATTTGGACCCTGCTCACCCAGCTTTATCATCTTGTAGGCAGACCACGTAGGACCTGGACCAGAAGGGGCTGGCCCAGGCCCCTGGTGTACAACATGGGTCCCAAGACAGCACATGTGAAGTTGGTGGGTTGCACTGGGGAGTCTGGGTGATGTAGAAGAAGGCTGGGCAGCAGTCGCAGGCTGCACAGCCGTACTCACCGCAGTTGCGCTCATCGAAGCCGTTGCTGCAGTCAACAACGCCATCGCATTCGGGATTTTCTTTTCCAATACAGACCTTGCTGGAACACTTGAAGGTGAGGCTGGTACAAGGCACCACTGGAAGGCAATAACCCACGGCCTGCTCAGTACTCTCTGTGCTGGGGCTGGAGGCCTCCTACCAACATGTCAATAAATCTGTTGTCAATTTTACCTGGGGTTTGGGTGGGCTTGGCAGGCTCAGTGGTTTTCAGAGCTGTGGAGGTTTCTTTCATGGTTGTAGTCATCTTCATCCCCAGGGTAGTTCTGTTGATTGGGCTTGCAGCTGCTGTGCTGGGCTGGTGGGTGAGGATGGCTGCAGTAGAAGTTCTAGGGATGGCTGAACTGGAAGGGGTGCCTGTGCCAGGACTGGGCGACTGTGAAATGGTATCCAAGATCCAGTCTCTGAGTTTGGTAATTCGGGAGTACACACCAGGTCTCATAGCCTGGGCACAACCGATTCCCCAGCTCACGATGCCAGCCAGATAAAACACTCCTGGGGTCACTTCACAGGCCAAGGGTCCACCTGAATCTCCCTGAGGAAGAAACAAGGCAGTTGCTGCTCAGCCCAATCTCCCCAAGACAGGTCTACACGGAGCTGCCCTGCAGACACAGCAGGACTTAGTTTGCCCCAAACTCTCCTTTCTCTAG